TTATTCATGTTAGGAAGTTACAACTTTTAATTATGATATTTATTTTGATGCTTAATTATATCTTTAAGTTCTTACACATACATAACATTACCTACACAAATTAATATATTTAAATAATAATTTATTCTTAATTATATTATTTTGAATTAATCTACATATGATGTTAGGTTTCGATTTGGTTATTTCAAAGGCAGTTTTAAAATGTAAGAGAAAAAATTATTTTAAGATTTCTTAAATAAAATATATGATACTTCATAAGTGTGAAATATATAATGCATCACTAAAAGTATCATCTTTAATTTCTAAATATTATATTGTTTACCATACAAATTTTTGGTTAGTATTAAAACAATTAAACAAGAACAATTTAGTGAACATGCATATGTTTAAGACTAATTGAATCAAATATAATTATTCAACATACAAAATGTCAACTTTCTATGTAAAAAAGTTATTTGTTAAGTAAAAAAAAAAATATAATCTTCACATAAATATTTGTTTAAATTATTCACTAAAACAATATGCATAATATGATTTATGTTTACCTCTTAATAGTATGTATAGTATAAATGTTTATTATAATAATGTGTTACATGAATTAAAATAGCATTTACTGTTGTAATATAAGCAAAAATAAATTAATTACAGAAATAAAATAAAATAACTAAAATTCTATTTTAAATCTTGAATTTTATAATACGTGCACTTATTAGAAAATAGTTGCAATTAAAATTAATTAAATAAAAATAAATAGTGAATTTACTTTAAATATGAATCATTCATTAAAACTAGACTCATTAAATTTTCACATTTAGGATAGTCTTAAAAATCTGAAAATGAAGATAATGCATGTATGAAAATTTTAGGAGATGCAACAATAATTTATGTTGGACAAGATATGTAGATAGATGAGTATCTTTAATCAATAAATATGTTATTATTCCTAAGTTTTTTCATGTAATTTTTTTTTTGAAATAATTATGACTTTAAAAACATTTTCAAATATTTATGTGTCTCTTATGTCATTATGACTAGAGAAAAATTATATATATCTAGGTATTATGAAATGTTATACTTGCAAATATGGCTAATTGCAACCACTATAATCAAAATAATTGAGAACGATTATTTAAACATAATGTTTTAGCTTCCAATCTACAATAAAAAAATAATCATTATAAATTATAGTTATAACAAATTCGAATTATTTTTCAAAGAGTATGATGCAAAAGGATGACATTAGAAAGCTATATTTGATGACAATATCAATGATAATTATTTTAAGCAAAAGTAGGGATGAAATGTTGACGAAGATATAAAATAATGTTAAGATAAAAATAAAATATGAAGGAATCATCATTACATAATTCATTTAAACTGGAATTAGTAATTATTCACATTTACGATAGTCTTGAAAATTCGAGAATGAAGATAATGGATATATGACAATGTTAGGAGATGCAACAATAATTTATGTCGAAAAAGATATATAGATAGATAGGTAGCTTTAATCAA